CAATTAATGTTCGATAAATAGCTTATTGTGTACACTTATTTTTTCTCCTTTAAAAAATTATTTCTTTGGGTCACCTTTCCAGGAAGAAAGTTGTCCAAAAAGTGCCTTCCTAGAGGATCTGTAATGCCACCCACGGTCATTCACTCTGTCTCCACATGTCCTGCCAGCCGTGCGCTTCATCCTCGCTGAGCCCGGCAGAGGGCCATGCGCTGGGCTGTGTGTGAGGCCAGGCTGTCTGTCTAGGGAAACAAATCCACTGACACTCATCTTTGTATCGCAACGAGCTTTACAGCAGGAAGGAATTTTCTATCAAGAAGGCATTCCAGCCGGGTCCAACTCAAGTCCCTAAGTCTGCTGCTAGCTGGTAAATCCCTCTTCAGACTCACAGAATCCCATGGGACCAGCCCTCGAGGCCAGCTGTGTGCCAGCAAGTAGGAAGGCAAAGTTAACACAGAGAGACGGTGTCCAGAGCCCTTCACATCCACACAAAAGGCCTATGACATCAAGGAGGTGTCATCAGACTGTGACTTTATGGGTAGGTTTAACTCCACCCCTAGCCGGGGGTCTAATTGACATGATCCCTAACTACCGCAGGCTGCTGACCGTGAGGTTACCAGTTGGAAACCACCAGTCACTCATCAGGAGAAAGCTGAGGTTTTCTACTCTCATAAAGAGTCTCCGAAACCCACAGGGGCAGTTTTGCCTTGCACTATAATGTCAATTAGGAGTTGGAATCGAGCAGTGAGTTTGGATTTTTTGGTTATTCTTGCCAATTTGATAAGTGAAACGTGCCCTGTGGAGGTTTTGATTTACATTTAATTCTTTCTATATAAATGGCCCGATCTAGACGCCTGATTGTTTTTTCTCCTTTAAAAGAAGAGGCTTTATATTCTATTTATTTCCCCACACCTGTCATTGGGCAAGAATATCACCCCACATTTACATTTGATGTGAGCGGTTCCCTTGCCATCTGTTTACTGTGGTGAATGGCTGTAGAGGTGGCTGTGTCTGACCTCCTCTGTCACCACAAGGCAGGGATCAGACACGCCTCCATGCTCCATCCTTCTTTACCTAGTCTGACACCAGCCAGTCCTCCCATGACATTCTATTTCTGTGCTGGGTTCGATAATTCATTGGAAGGACCAAACCGGATTTGCAGATAATATTCAAGAGGAAGGGAGTGTATTAGGGAAATTAATAGGTTACCACAGTCAGGAGTAGTAACCAGTAAAGATACAATCACCGGTCCACAGCCACACCTCTCCTCAGCCAGCAGCCAAGTCTCTGTCAGGTCCAAGTCTTTAGTCACATGGTCTGTTGGCCTTCGCCTCCATGAGCCAGGGCATTGGCCTCTTATCACTCGGTCCCACGTTTCCAGAGTCTTGGTCCAGATGAGAAGAAGGTACCCCATCGTCTCAGTGCTGCTCCTCCGTCTGGGTCTCCGTGCCACCATCTGGTGCATCTAATGGGGGCAGCCTCCACCACTTCAGACGGGGACCTTGGAAATGCACCCTCAAACGCTCCTGCCATTCTTCCATGTCTCTGATGGCTCTTATATACTGAGGAAGTGTGGCCTGTCTTTTAGTCAGCCCTACCCCCAAGGACAATGAAAGATGATGTCTTAAGTCTCACACTCTACTAAAGTAGTCTTAAAGATGGCCCCATTGGTACTAAAGATGTAACTTGTTCACACCCTCTGCTAAGGTCAGAACTTAACCTTGCCTTA